ACCCCCGTCCCGAATCTTTGCACTGATAACCAGATACGCGAAGCGAGAACCGACATACCGTATCGCGTATCTCCTATTATGGGACGGTGGTGTCCTGTACCGTAGCTAGATTCGCTGCAGATTGGGGACGAGGCCTTAATCAAATATTGTGGCACGTTATTACAATAACGCGATACGCGATGATTATAAATTTACGCTGACTGAAGAAAAGCAGCGATGAATGATCGCAAACTCGGTGCAATTTGAACTACCAGATCCGGGTGTGCTCATAACTAACTGTCATAAACGACTACAGTAAAACGAGAAGCAGGTCAACGACATCGATATATTATTTGTTTGTGTGGAAAGAGACTTGTTTCCAAAAAGCGCGCCACAGGCGGTAATCGAACCCGCGCCAGCTGCGTCTAGAGCCGAACGGCTAACCACTGTACTACTGCGGCATCATCCTCTAGCATACAAATCTTCTCACACTGTCGTGTAAGCGCCTTTCATTACCATTATTCGGCCTGTTTTTCCGAATATATATATTTACGTATTTTCACGTATTCAGGCTAATTCAGCAGTTAATTATGCAGGTTGAAATTTTTCTTATGGGAGGCAGAGTCAGCAAGGTGCGGTTATTAATTCAAGCAGACCAACAGTAAAAGATGTCCCGAATTACGGAGAGAGTGCAGACAGAGGCCGTATTTAGCAACGATAAGAATGGACCCTTTGGCTACTCGTTTGTAGTTGGTTCCACAAATGGGCCATCAGGAATGCGAAGCTCCGATCACTTAAGGGTTCCACGTTGTATAACGTGTACCACGGAGAATACCAGCGATATGCCTACTAAATTATTTGTCTTCATTCCGCTCGATCAGAAAACTGCGCAACATAATTCGCTAAATAACAACAGAGTACTGGACAGAGTACTGACAGAGTGAATAACTATAAGAACAGAATACCATAACCGATTACGTATTTAACGTGATATATGGCAGCCGCAAAATAGGGCTAAAGTATTGCTCTAAGTTGGCAAGCGCAGCTCTCTTCTCTTCAATAAGCCCGGCTGTCTGGCCAAAGCCTTATTCCCCGTAAAAAACAATAACGGTCCACGAATGCAATAAAAAGCAATTGATAAGGAGTGTTTATTCTGCAGCGTCGAAATTCGCGTCAATTACTGCCACAGCAAGCTTAGTTAGGGTGGATACATCCATCAATCGAAGGTCTGCATCCGCCCAGTCGCGTACGCTGCCATCTTGACGGAAACCGCTGTACCTGCAAAATTATCACAAGACCAAATTGCATGAACCATGCGCAAGCGCGTTTTTGTGCCAACATACAGCTGAAGAAAGCGCCGAATAGGACTCCACTGGTCGGGATACTGCAGCTTGTCCAGCCAACGGCGATGAACGGAGCGTACTCGGTCGTAGACCGCCTGGTCAAGCGGAGGACAGTTCTCCTCCGCCGCAAGCAGAAACTGTCGAAACATACCGGCATCACCATAGCTGGAATGCAGCATTACATAGCGGATCGTAATGGATGTATCTCGACGAGTAACGAGTAAACCGGTTTTAATGAGGCCGAAGTCTTCAATGCTAGGAAACAAGGCGAACATGCTCCAGTTGCTGGCAATATCCTCCACATAGTAATTGCGCAGCGCCAGCCGATGACAAATGGTCGTTAGTTTGGCTAAATTGTCGCAGTACCACACATCGGCACCAACAGCGTCCAGGCCCTGCGCGCGCCCGTGCCTGATACCATGACGTGTGCAGCCATCGCGGATGAGGATGTGACGCAGGGTAATTTTTCTTGAGGGATAACACAGCCGCGACGAACGTTGTCCATGTGGTCAAATTGTCGCAGATCGAGGTATACGTATCCACCAACGTCAGGCTTTCGGTGTAGCCGCTTACGGCCTGATTGAAGGCCCAGGTGAAACGGTGGACGTTATCGTAAAGTGACAGGTGTAGTACGCTAAGAACCATCTTGGAGCTGTCGAAGGTAACGTGTCGAAGGGCACGGTTATCGGAAAGAAGCTGTCGCCACAGCGGGCATACTCTGCAAAGGGCAAACCAGGATGAAGGCAGAAACAGACAAACCGGAGCGATTTCACATGGAATCGCTCATTAACTGCCTTTGCGCTTTTCTTGTTACTGCTGTTAACTGTGGGATGCCCAAGCCAGACCGGCCTTTTAGATATATAAGTGTCACTTTAAAAGCTTTGAGAGCATTTATCAGCAGTACTTGCTACTCTAGCGGTTAATACCTTTTTGCCTGAGCTTGAGTGTGCAGATCCAGGCCGATGAGAACTTCGGCCAGAACCGGATGCGCCACGCCGTCAATCGATTCATCATTCTCTCCGATAGTTTTACTGTCTACAATGTAATGCGCAACACCGGTTGAGGTTAGGGTACGCTCCCGAATTTTTTACTGGGCAAACACTCTATTCTTTCTTGACTGTTTGTTTGTTTGTCTGATGCTTGCCTACACTCATGCTGATACTGTGATACAGACATGACACCATTTTTCTGATGACTGCAACCTTTTATTTTACGTTCGATTAAACCGTTTAAACCCGCCGCATACTCGTGCAATGGTACAAAAATTCGGGAATAAACTGAATTCGCTGCTTATATAAATTATAAACCATTATTATATAAATTACTCTGCATAGTGCAAGCATGTATTATATAAAAATTACGCATAGTGTGAAACGGGTTAAATAAAATGCGTATTCTCAGCTACCGAAAATCCCTCGTTACCAGTGTCCTGAGTGCAATTAATTTTGTACTGCTGTGCAGTATAGACTCTACTGATGCTAAGCATACCGAATAGTAATTCTGGCTGAGGGCACTTCGTTTCAGCGTTCGTTAGCAACGGATCGGGATATAAGCTGGTACAAGCTCCTGTGAGGGTATCTTCATCCCATTCTGCGCATTCAAAATGGGGACCGAAGGACTGCTGGGCGCAGACAAAATGGAGAACATCTCCTACAACCTTAACGAAGACGCGTTCGGCGACAAACATGTTAGGAACCCACCGGCCGTTATTACATTCCGGGCCTAGTCCAGCTTCTTCGACGCAATTCCATATGGCCTCCATATCCAGCTTTCTGATCAGATGGGCATTCTTGAATGGAATACTGAACTTGCGGTAGTATAGTCCGCCGGTCTGGTAAAGCAGCGGGGGTTCATCCAGCGCTAGCTGCATGTTGGCGGCAATCTGCCACAGGTGCACCACTGCATACTGCGGCGTTGTCACGTGGTCCAGTCGGACGTAGAATGCGCCCTCGCTCACGGTCCGGGACAACAGGCGCGCCGGGCGAAAAATAAGTGGCCCGTTAGGGGTGCCGCGCAGCGCCACCTGCACTGCGGCGCTCCCGATAGCGGCTATTTGCTGGTCGATTGGCCGCCACAGCTGCAAGTCATCATTCAGGAAGCGTTGTGCCCGCACATAATCCGAATGAACCCAGCCGGCAGCAACCGTGCTGCAGTCGAAATCAATGAACATGAGGTCGCCATCAATGTCCTGCACGTATCCCAGCCACCATTCACCATTGTCCTTCTCAACCATCACCGTGTTCCCGTTGTTAATTTCGCGAGGGTTGGATGCTGGGCGCCGGAAAAAATACAACGGATTGACGTCCATCCCAGCGTTAGTGTAAAGGAAATGCTGCAATCGAATCTGGTTTCAAGTGGTTTGGCACAGTTCAACTATCAGTACGCGTATAACAATAATGTATGGCGGCAGTTTACTTCCCTAAAATCACAAGGTAAATGTTGATTGGTAAATGACTCTGCAGGCTGTGAGAGTCTCTGCTCAAACCATCGGCGTATAAAATTTATACTATAAATATACTTTTATACTATAAATAACGTGTTCAAATGGTCGCCCTGTGTCGATGGAGTGAACACGAATGCCGTATCTCAAACAGAAGTGAGACTACGAGACAGGCGAATCAGTGAGCTCGATGTATGTAATATCAACGCATGTGGTGCCGAGGCGCTGTCTAGGCCATGGAATTTAAGTGCTGTATTGACCTAGGTAAAATTTTCGGTCTGTTCAAAGTTTTGAGCTACCTTTTTCTTCACGGTTTCAGGATGACAGGGTGTTTTTGTTGCACGACCGTTTTTATTACAAGATTCACGAGGTGCAGAAATAACGGAAACGATATTTTGCACTAATTTGACCGCTGACGATGACATTTGCTGCTCGATACATGATAAGGTCACGACGCTGTTTGCGTGTGCTAACAAGCTAAATATTTCCATTGAGTTATTCGCCCAAATACCAGACGCATACCGTTTTGTAGAGAAAAATCAGCTCTATTAAGCATTATTTTTTATAGCGGGGTGGTTTTCATAGTTATCGTTTAAAATACATTTAAAGTTGGTATTGCAAAACGGCCAGTGACGTGTCTATGCGCACTTCAAAGATGCCGCCCATCGCGCATCTCAGATACCGATCTTCTGCAGCGCATTGAGCGCTGGCCTGCCTGTGCGACATCTAAGTTAGCGGAAAATAATTTTTTTTATTTGCTCTAATTTTGAGTTCACAAAGAGCGTCAATGGATTGTTGATATTTTTGCGTGCATTTAGCGTACAAAATCCTCAAAGTTATAATTTGCTAGTTAGTAGAACCAGAAACAAAAATTACACCGAGTTGAGATGTTCAATGCTCAGAACATACAGCGTACCATATACCAGCTCCCACTGAATCCGGATATGATCTGCCGAGCTGATAACCACGCGATGCAGCATATCCGCGATCAGCGCGACAGAAGATCTGTATCTCGGATGCGTGATGGGCGGCATCTTTGAAGTGCGCATAGACACGTCACTGGATGTTTTGCAATACTAACTTTAAATGTATTTAAATTGTATGCGAATTTCCTATCCTGGGATCCGGTATGCTGGGAGAATGCGGACTTTCCGTGCGGTAACTGAGGTTTGATGGGTGCCGGCATGGCCGGAAGTGCGCAATTACAGCTGAGTATCTTACCTTGCGGTACAGATTGCTCACTGTCGGCACCTTCCGCCTGTGCCCGGTCCCTTCGCCCCCAAACAAACTCTCCTCCGGTAAAATTCTGGATTGGTTATCGCGTCAGTACGGATGTATCGTTCGACGCAGTCGCTCTTCCACCGTCCTGCCCGCTTGATTTCTTCTTTCGGAACTGAAAGGGCAGCTGCTTCTGTTGCCGCTCCAATACGGAAGCTGTGCGTGCTGAAACGCTGGTAATCGGGATGTCCCTTCAGGAGAAGCTTCAGAATCCGGTCCACGCGCTCGCGTGTAAGGTATCGGCCGTCAGCATAACAGAAAAAAGGCTTCGCCGTCATGCCTTGCGCTTTCCGCTGTTGGTAGAAGGCCTCCGCGGCGCGCACAGGGCACACTGAGCGGTGAGTGGCAGTCAGCACAATCTTTGCGCCCGTGGCGCTCTGGTCGGTCTTCGTCCGTTTCAGCTGGATGATTACTCGCCCGTCCTGCAGCTGCACATCGTTGTGCGTCAGAGTTGATGGCGCGTCATAGGCGCGGTGCGATCTGCTGACGATTTCACTGATGCGCAACAAGCCGAAGAAAGCCATGCAAAAGGCACACCAGAGCATGACAGCTTCCTCCGTGTTTCCGTAGTCTGCCAACGCTGTCTTGAGGGTGCGCATCAGATTCATTGTTATTGGTAGCCTTCGATCGGGTGTTGGGCCCTTTAGCCGCTTGTAACCACCAACCGCCCGTATGACCAAGTCGTCCGCTGTCGGGTTAGGAAGCCCGGCTTCCCGATGGTGGTTATGGATTGCCGCAAGGTAAACCTTGCATGTCCGGAACGCGGCCTTTTCTTCGTAGAGTTGAGCCACGAAAGCCGCCACGGTCGTCGGATCTGCTGGCAGTGATGTTAGTCGGTTCAGGTGACAGAACGTGCGGAAACGGCTCAATGATGAGTCGTACGTTGCTCGGGAAGAGGAGGAGATGTGTGCGCCAAGGAGTGTTCCGCTTGGTTGTAGGACACCTGTAGGCTTGCAAAGATGTCTGGGCATGATGTTGGTGACACTGACGCCCGAGGGGCTAAAATGCGGAAGCGCTGTGTCTGAAAGCGAGATAAAGCGTCAGCAATACCGTTATCGACGCCGCGAACATGCTTTAAAGTTAATGTAAAGTTGTTGTCGGCCGCCGCTCGCGTCATACGCCGCATGAGATCAAGAACGCCCGGGCTGCTGGAGCGCAGGTGTGCCCATGCCTCCACAGCGCCGGCGTTGTCGGTATGGAAAACGACTCTCCGCCGCCGCAGTTTAGGCCCCCAAACGATCATAGCGAGGAGAATGGGAACCATCTCCAGGTATTCGATCGATGGCGGGCTTTGAAGGATCCATTCCGGCCACCTGAGCTGAAACCATTCGTCATGGTAGAAGGCTCCCAGCCCTAGCGTGGCGGATGCGTCCGTGTACAGATGCAGTACGTCGGACGTGGTCCAGTCGGGCTCCAAGAAGGAAGCTGTGCCGTTCCAATGAGGCAGGAACGTTCTCCACCAGTCCAAATCCTGGTGAAAGTCTTCGTTTAGCGTAACTACCGGCCGCCCGTGGAAGGCGGAAAGGAGCATAATCATGCGCCTCGTGAACAAGCGACTGCATGGTACACACTTGGAGGCAAACGAAAGAGTTCCGATTAAGCTTTGAAGCTCTGCTGTGGTACAGGAGGCTCTTCCGTGCCAGCTGCGGAAGCTATCAGCAATATCGTGCTGTTTTTTTGAAGGTAGACTTAGGGTTTGCGTAACTGAGTCGAGCTCTATGCCAAGAAATGTCAGCCGAGTTGCGGGGCCTTCCGTTTTATCCAGAGCTAACGGCACCCCAGGCTCGCTGCACACCGCTTGCATGGACGTCATAAGTAGCTCGCACTCGCTGGTCCCGGGTCTTCCGACGAAGAAGAAATCGTCAACGTAGTGCAGTAAGGTGGCTAGACGGGCTTTCTTTTCCACGCACCAGTGTATGGCAGTGGAGAAGAATTCGAAGATATACGGCGACGAGCGGCAGCCGAACGGTAGCACCACATCGAAATAGTACTCACCGCGGATTCTGAATCCCAGCAGGTTCCAGTCGGCAGTCCTGACGGGAATGAGACGGAACGCCGACTTCACGTCCATTTTGGCCATTACTGCACCCTTGCCGGCGTTCGTAATTAAACGAACGGCATCGTCGACAGAACAATACTGCAGGGGCATTTCATCGCCCCGGATGTGGTCGTTAACGCTATTCCCATGTGGCTGCGAGAGGTCCATTATGGTTCGGTGGCCCCCGTCTTTCTTCGGACGGCTACCGAGTGCGTTGACGACGAAGTGGGGAAGCGGAGGATTTGGGAACGGACCGACGGAGTGTCCCAGCGAGACCTCCTTCTTGATGCTTTGGAGGAGCGCGGCGTGGTGAATGCGTGCGGAGAGAGAGTTCTTCGTGTAGCGGCCTTGTTGCGGCCCTGTGTATCGGATGTCTGCTCCGGTACGCAAGGTGGTGACGATCAACTGGCGTAGATGTGCGTTGGGATGGTCCGCAAGCAGTCTTGCAAAAGCGTCAGCACGCAAAGGCGTCTGAGCGCTTGCAGGCACTCTCGGCGGCTCAGCGAGATCCGGACTTGCACTGGGGCGCCTTATGCTCTTTGTCCCGGCAGTGCTCGCAGACGTGAAGACGCCGGTGTTTGCAAGGCTCGGTGCAGTAGCCATAATTGTGGTTGCGGCAGACTTCGCCCCCCGCTGCCAGGGCTGGTCGAAAGGGCGGGACGTATCCGGCTTGGCCGTGGCGTGGTTGCTTACATTGAGCGATGTAATGCCCCAGTTCCCCGCAGTTTCGGCATTTGTCCGTCGCTGCAGCCGTCTTCTTCATTCGGCATTCGTTAGCGCTGTCGCTGGTGGCCTCCTCGGTAACCCCGTTTTGAATGTAATCGGCGTACGTGTCATCGTGCTGTCGCGCCCACATATCTATTTCTTGAGGGTGGCTGCTCATGAGCGATGTGAATTGCCGGTCATACTCGAGCCAATGGGCGGTCGGGACCCCCCGGTCGACGTACGCCGCAATGAGATCCTGGTATTTAGCCAACGCCGTTGCTAGCTCCGGCATGATTGTGACGCGGTAAGCCAGAAACACGGAGAACGCGCGGATCCAAGAGGTGAAGGAGTCCACGACTACACGGACCTCATTTGGCTTCAGCACCACGTGGCCTCTAGACATGACCAGCTTGGAGCCTCCGTGCTTCGGTTTTCCACCCGATTTTTCGGTAGCAAGGAATCAAAGTCGACGTACCGTGATGGGTCCGCTAGACGTCGGCGAACCCTGCTGGGAACGGCTGGCAGGTGCTTGGCCCGGTCCAGCAAAGCATTACGCGTGGACGATGATGCTCGGTGTCCGCTCCTTCGATTCCCATCGGGATGCGGACCCAGGCGGTCGAAAATTGGCGGGCGGGCGGGGGAGCGGCTGCGAGACGACGAGCGGCTTCTGGAGCTGCTGCTCTTACCTCTTCGTCGGCGGTGTTTGCGCGATTTTTCGCGTCCACTGCTTTCTCTGCTGTGGTGTACGTCCCTCTTTCCGTCCGGATGCGACTCAATCTGGATGACAGATGCAGTCGCGGGAGAAATCGGACGGAGAACCCCAAGCTCCCTGGTGGCCAGCGGTGTGAAAATATCCAGGAGCTGCTGAATTTGTCGCTGCTGTTGGTCCTGTCGCACCATCACAGTCTGCAGATCGGGGGCCGGTTGATCTACCACTACAACCTTTGACTTGACTGTAGGAGCGGGAGACTGTGATCGGTCGCGTTTTCGACTGGGACGCGTTTGGAGTTGAGGAGCCCGGCCTCCCCTGGTGCCCCCGCCAGAGCGCGTTTTCCTTGGGCTCGGATTGTGGTTAGGCTTCTTCTTCGGTGGCATTATGCGACACTGCTTCTGAGAACCGTTAATTAACAAAACCGATTAACTTCTGAGAACCGTTCAGAAATTCCGCAAATAAATTCAACCGCAACAGCATGAATGTAGCAAAAACGCAAATGCGAGTGAAAATTAGCTGTAACGCACGAAAAGGCAAGATGCACACGGCACCATGCTGCCGGTGCCGGATGAACAGGGAAACAACAGTACAGGAATACGTAAATTGCGCCAATTTAACATTAGCTAAGTAACACTTAACTTTCATTTTAAATGATAACTATGGAAACCGCCCCGCTATAAAAAATACTGCTTAACAGAGCTGATTTTTCTCTACAAAACGATATGCGTCTGGTATTTGGGCGAATAACTCAATGGAAATATTTAGCTTGTAAGCAGCAATATTACGATAAATTGTTAGCGTATGCATACAGGTATTATTGACTCTGCGCAACGGTCAAAGCTGGCGTTCAGCAGTATCAGGAGGCGGTGGATCTGTAGCCAGTTTAACTGTTGCAGTTTACCAACAAGATTTCTCTTACATATTTTGATACATTGTTTTACAATGAGTTAAGCGGTTATTACAAAATAATGGTTGTTTGTTTGTTTGTTTACTCAATTTAACGTCTACAACGATCAGGAATATCCTGCACAAGGTAGTAAACTACCGTTGAAGAATATGCTGCCGCAGCGGCAGCTCGTAAAACACAAACAAAAAGAAAACAATTATCAGATATCCGGCAATAAGTGTCAGAGTAAGAATCTGAGATCTTTATGAATAAAACAATCGGTCCACTTTAAATCCATCCGTTTTACGGAGTCCAGACACGACTCGAATCGTCTGATAGAATCGTACGACTCCTTGAGAAGCTTAATTTCATTCCATAAACAGGCCATGAGGAAAGCGAAGCTTCGTTCACTGATGAAGATCCGTCCATCCGCCGCTCGGGTTCCCACGGGTTCCACTGCGTAAGGGTGCGAGTCCAAGGTTGTCACTTGATGAGGAATGAGTTTTTAGCTTCGACCCCGGTACAAATATTCCCAATTCAACCAATTAAGAAATTATGCTGCTCTATCATAGATCTTGATGTTGACTATCCGTTGCTGGGAAGGTTTCCAAAAATTCAGAAAAAAAAACTAATAAGCGCAAGGGGACCATATGTAGGGTACCGCTTGCCTTAACGCCATACTTACCTTAGTTTTTTTTACCACTTAATACTTTACTGATTCAATTTGGCGATAAAATACAGTCTCAAGTTTATAAAAGTGAAAGAATTGTACTGAATACACAGCCTCAGCCGACTACGGATATAGGCGGCCTTATCACACAGAACATTTCGTCTAAGTTGGCCGATGCTGGTGCTGTTCCCATGACAGAGGCCGCGTTCCCGCGCTGGATGTCAATACTGATCCGATGGCGCAGAAACTCTGTCGCCCGTACCTCGCCTGTTTCTTGTTGTATCATCTTCCCGACTTCGGTGACCAAACGAGAGGCGTCCTGTCCGAGTATTTCGATGCCAAATGCACGGAACAGGTAATCTCGGGTGAGTTCCCGATACTTCGCCACTTTATCCTGCTCTGCGCTCGCGGCAGCTGCCCCCGCTTGCTTCGATGTTGCCGCGATGTGCGACACGACTACCGTGCACACACATGTGGCGTCCCAGGTCAACATCTTTCCTCGTTCCCATGGAACCATAGTCACTCCGTCGGGGCGCTTGCCATTGGTGAGGCAAGTACCAGGTGGTTCCAGTTCAGTTTCAATACCGGCGGAAGCAAAGACGCGCTTTAAAGTGACATTGATGCAGCTGTGCCTGGGCTTCCGGCCCCGGCTTTTTTTACAACTCAGGCCATGGTATCCTCGCGCATCGGCCCATTCACCACAATTGCATCGGTGTGGAATGGTGACTGGTACGCCGGGACGCAGGCCGACAGCAGTTCTGAATGTGGTGTCCTTTAGGAAGTTACCGAGGGATGCGGCTGGAAGCGCTTCCATCCATGCGCCGTTATCTTTGGTGCTCACACCTCGAAGGCGGGCTTCACTTGACATGTCCGACTGGGCTTTCCCCAGTAGGGTTTCCCCCGTGTCCGGGATGATCGGTTCGTCCCAAATCTTCTGGTGTTTTCTGGTTTCAAAGGCTGGGAGGAGATCAGCTCTTCTCATTCGTTGCCACTCATCTGTAGCGCCGCGACAGTAAATTTCCGGGTCGAAATCCACTAACTCGCTAGTCATTTTAGCCACTGAGTAAGCCGAGGCCAAAAAGGCCGGAAGGGCCAGCTTCTCAATGCTCCGGATTCCGAGACCACCCTGTGCGACGGGAAGTGCCGCTTGCATCCATATAGCTTCGGTAATGTTCACATTGGTGATTCTCGATAGACAGCCGATGATCATTTTGTCGAACTGTCGCAGAAAGTCTGCTAGCAGGTAGCACCGCGCAGTTCGCAACCTGTAAATCATTCTTACGGGACCCATGCTGCATTTCAAAAGATACAATGCGTGGTGGGCAGGCAGCATTGTTAAGCGCTGTGTCATTCTGGCAATCTTCTCCGTTTCAACAGCAAGGGTGCCTGCAACCGCGTCATGGTGGAGTGGCCCGCCGAGGTAATTCAACTCGTTCAAGTGAGGCAACTGTAAATCAGGTAACGATTGGAGAAATGCTTTAGTTACCATTTGGCGATCAGTTTCGGACCCTCAGATCACTATCAATTCGCATTTCGCGATGTTCAAATGCAGCCCGGCATCTTTCAACGCTTCCTGCAGAGTACATAGATCATCGTACACGTCTTCAGGGGCACCTCCAAGCGCATCGTCATCCAAAAAGCTCTCGCGGAATTTTGATTTCAGATGGCGGTGTGGTTTGATGGTGGCGAGGCAATATAATAGCGGGCCTTTGGGATCACCCTATTGTATTTCTGCTTGGGAAGAGATGCGGTAGGCGCCATGCAGCAAGACCGATGGTGTTCCGTAAAACTGCCAGACGTAACGGTAGTACAGTGGTAGAACTTCCTCCGTTGGTTTGAGGATTTTATTCCGGTCAAGCGAATTAAATGCATTTCTTACATCCAGTTTCACAAAGACTTGAACTTTGTCGCTTTTGACGGCATTCTCAATAAAGCAGCGCGCACCATGAACTGCTGCTTCTACGCCGCCTTTCGTGGCAAAACCTAACTGGAGAGGCTGTAGTTCGCTGCTTAGACGACGCGATTTGAAGGAGACAATGCGGGATACAATTCGACGCAGGGTTGAATTAACCGCAATCGGGCGCACTCCGCTGTCCTTTTTCTTGAAGGCAAATAAATTGGCCCCGTATAATATGTCGGTGATCTCGGTGGGCACTTCCCCCCTAACTCTAAGCATTATGTTCACTACGTCAGCCAACGCGCTGCACGAGTTCTTCACAACTTCACGATTTTTCACAGTCAATAGTTCTTTCAAATACTGTGGCCTCATCCCATCTGGTCCTGCTGCAGAGCCATTCGGGAAGGCGCGAATGGCTTCGGTAATTTCTGTTAAGTATTGTTGCGAGAGGAGGGAGCGGCGTTAGTTACCTTAGTTACCTACGTACAGTGGTAGCAGATAGGTGTTGCGGTTGTTCCGCGGGAGCCTTCTTCTTATACGAACAGGCTATTACCAAATAAACCGAGTAGAAATTTCTTTTTTTTAAAGCCCAAAGACGGTTTAGGTTTAGAATTCGCTGCGTGAGCACACTGAATTAAAAAAAGACTCAGTGTCCAACTGTCCATTAATCGTTTTCCTTTGAGCCCAAAATGTTTGTGCATCAAAACACCGCTAGGCATCCGCGACCGTTTCTCTGGTGCACTTTCA